AAATTGACCAGTTTTCAATAACAATTAATTTTTTTAAACTATTTTTTATGTACTCCTAAAACACCCCCAGACAACACCTCCAGAGGAATAACGCCAATTTTGAATCAATCTGTAAACAGCTGAAAATTATGTAAAAATGAAAGTATTGATATTAACTATAATGTATTACATTTATTTGTTAGTAAATTTGATTCATTTTTGTAAACAGCAATTTAAGTGTATTTTATGAGATTTATTTTGAACAATCAACTAAAAATAGAGTTTACAATGTTCAATTAAATCCACATAACTTTAAAATGGATTATGAAAACTAAAAAAGCAGTATTTAGCTTATGAAATAGCTTTAGCAATATGAAATACTACAGTAAATTGGTTATTCGTTAATAATTCGTCCGTCAATAAATAGGACTAATTAAATTGAGCACAAGCCTTTGGTAGTTTTATTCAGCAGAGTCTAACAGAGTCCGTTAATCAATTTCAAATTTGCAGTATTTCTCATATTGATTTAATTCTATACGCTGCTATATGCTCAAATTTGTTGCTATCAACTTACAATGCAGAACATTACATTCATTACAAGACGAATTATTGTTAGATGATGTCTTGGCTGCGTTGTTATCAAACACGTAAGACCGACTTAATTTAAATAACTACATGTTCATTTAAACTTAAACTATTGTAAATTTGTATTCACGTTTTTTCTTTAATTTTTTATAGCTCAGAAAAGTCAACCCGCTGCCACAGAGCTCAATCTGGATGAGATGTGGGACGAGGTTTCGCCTCAATTATCAACAGTGTTAGATAGTAATTTGGAACTGGCTAGTGATATCACACCGTTCGATGCCGCGTCCGATGTTCCAATCGATGACCAAAAGTGAGTATTGTGTGTATATTTATTTAAGAATCGACATTTTGTGCCCGCATACAGCACTGCCATGGATGCAGCAATACTATTTTATTTCGATATATTTGAACGGAATCTGAGTAGTAACCGTAACCCCTATAATTGGCTGCATTTATTAAATATAACTGATTCATGTGTATGAGAGATTTGATAAAACGCGGTCCACCGATTTGCTTCTGGGCATTCACCGGAATCTGGACAAGCATTTGCCAAGGGATGCATTAGCTAACGAAATGTCTCGACAATGACCCACATCGTCCCATATGCCCGGAAACCAGTTTTATTTGGTAAATCGTACGTTAAAACAGGCAACATACTCAGAGTAAGTAAGATGTACTAAGAGTAGTAAGATGTTTTCTCCATCAACTGACTATTTTATCGTCAACGTGTTTATGTGCGAGTAGAAGCTTTTTAACTTACAATACTAAGCATGTTTCCATAGAAACTGTGATTGTAGTTACCAAATTGTATGAGCCGAAGTGAGTTACTTCTTTTCGTGTCTGAGTTTGGTTCGAAAAAATAAATTTTAAACTTTGGCTAGTCATATTTCTTCAATCAAAAGGGTATATTCACATATGGGGTAATATTAAGTGTCACTCGCCCTTTTCTTCTGTGAACTTTTCAATCGCAATTCACAAATGTTGTATCTCAATAGTAAACGGTATTCTTTAGTCGCTACAAACTGGTTTTTACGTGATGAAATGTAAAGAACGGCGGATGTAACAGTATTTCTTCAGAAACATATTTCAAAATAATTTAATTTATAGATAAGGTTGTATGTTTGATTCAACTCCCTTATTAGAATATATCTATGGTAAGCGTTGAAGAGAATAACTTAAAGCATATGTGTTTAAAGCCAGCTTCGTTTAATATAAAATTAAATTTAAAAAACGCTTTCGAAAAAGCTGGGTGATGTTTAATCGCTGTTAACTTAAGGAAAAGCTGGAAAGTATTAGTATAAAACTTGCAATGTTCTCCGAATTTGATTGGCTGTTAGAATAATGTAGGAAATAATCGGTTATAAAATCATACGGGGGCTCAATTTGCCGGACAAGTATTTAATTGCTATGAAAGTTTTTTGTTTGGCAATGCTGCGAATGATATTTGCAACAGTAACGACAAGAGTAAAGAATTCCAACTCTTTTTTTTAGCATATCTTAAAACTGGATTTATATCTTAATTATTAACTGTTTAAACAATATTTTCAATGTTTAGTACTCTGGTACCTAGTTTATTGCAAGTCGCCTAGTCTTCCTTTTCAAGTAGTCCCTAGTCACATTGAAAATGTACTTGATTGCCATGTTTGCCATTTTACTTCCAGACGTCAAACTGGCTTTTGGTAAATTCTTAGTCCTTCTGATTATTAAATTATTTGGTCGTCGATAATAACCGTAATGACAATGGCTAATATCATTTGAGGTGAAAGATCGGATAACGATTAATGCAAATATTTGCTAAGCAGCTGGTTACACAAAGATGTGGTTCAATTAAGTTATTAATAATTCAATTAAGTTATAATCAGTTTTCATTTGCCAAAAAGAAGGAAAGTAAAAATAAATGCTTAGTTCTTGTGTGAATCAAACATTTTTTCTGGGTAAAGTTCACTTTCATGTAAAATAAAATCTTGCAATTTATTCACAAGAAAGAGTAAATATTGCTAGTTCCAACAATTGAAACTCGTAGAATATACTTTTAATTAGACTTTTTACCATCTACATATTATCTCGTACATTTCTAAATCGTACACAACTCTACTTTGACCGATTGCTACTACGTCAAGATATACTCTGACTGGTAAATATTGAGACATATGGGTGCACTTATACCGGCTAGTGTTAAAATTCTTAACTAAAGCTTCATCTCAAGTTGTTTGATTCAAAATAATGCAAACGGGCCAAATAGATTTATACTTTGCTGCGTTTTCTGCAAAGTTTTCAATAAAACCTCCTTTATTTGCAAGTGGACCAAATTGTTTATAAATTCGATTTGTAAATTAGATTAGATGAAAGTAACTTCACCACTTTCTAAATTGACAAAGTTGTTTGCTAGAATGGTAAAGTGCAATACTAAATAATAAGAAAGAACAATCACCCATTTTTTAAACAAAACTTTAATTATTTCGTGTCTAGTTGCGTCCCCAAAACTTAAAAACCATTAAACTGAATGTTGTATATGGTTCATCAGCGATTAACGTCTAACATCTTGGTTTCGTGAAACTGCCCAACCGATTGCATAGAGCTGTAATATTTAATTCTATTTTATTTGATCTGTGTTTTTAGCTTTGAGAAAGAACACCAAATACACTTAGTTACCATTAATTTTTAAATTGATACTGAAAATGCTTACCCCTGATGGCTTGACAATTTTCATCGTCGTATAAGAAGTGTATTTTTGATTCCCGATACAGTTTCATTATATTGTGAAGAACTTACATTATAATTTTTTTTGTCTAGCACATCGTACAACTTATACTTCGAACGGAACGGCTAATCTAGCCAATAATCTATATAGCACCATATTACAGATAACTTACCATTAGCGTCTCGGGATAAGAACGAACACTCTATATTGATTTGGCACAATGTGACGCTAAGGACATCAGGAGAGTTAACGGAGTTTGACTTCGGTTTTTGGAGCTATTAATTTTGTGTAGGTACCTTTATTATCAAAATTGGGACTTATTTTGGAATTTTTATTCTAAACCACAATATGTTTGTTTAAAGTCAACTTTTTGTCTATAACTCGCAATTTGCCGACTATTTTAAGGATGGCCGGGGCCGGTTGGGGATCGGAACGCCGAAATAACAGCCATAGCAACATATAAAATACGACTTTAGAAAACAATTTAGTCGCCTTTGTAACCAGATGGGTCCTCTAACTTAATAAAGAGTGGAAGCGACTGCCACGCACGAAGAAAATAGAGCCGTTCCAGAAAAGGCACAAATTGAGAATTTTTTTCGTAAAGGGGAAATCCTATAAAACTTAATCTAATGCTGTGAACAATGTTGTGATAGCGTGCAGGACACTGACATCTTACTTGTTTCGAATTATTTATAGTTCGCATCGTTTAATTTGCCAATTTCAATTGTATGGCTAACTATTCTGTTAACTCACTAACAACCTAGTTGGCATACCTTTTTACACCATAGTATTCTAAAGTCGTTACCATCAAATGCAATGTGAATATATTAAAGATAGTTTGATAACATTTATTTGTAATTCTATCACGATATCTCGGGTTGAATGTTTGCGTTCGTTTTTTCATGCTATGTATTTAAAATCCTACCCTGAAAAGAACGTTTTATTTGCTTTCTTTTTGTTAATTAAATACGGCCGGTCTGGAAATCTCCTTAGGGAAAAAAACGTTCTTTGACGTCGCATAGGTTTGAGGTTTCCGGTACACCAACCCTTTTGTTGTCATAAAACAAGAGTTTTAATTATTAGTTTTTTGTAAGTCATCAAAAATTTTTTTTCTGGCAGTAATTCAAACCATTGTCACTACATTACATTAGCTGCGCCTTTGATTATTTAGACTATGAGCAATATAAATACATACTATAATTTTTAAAATGAAGCACTGCATGCTACTACTGCATACTGCAAGTATTTGGTATTAAGAGTGTATATAATTCCAAGGGGGCTTTTTCATAACAATACTCTTGAATGTAATACAAGTACCACCCCCAAGAGCAATGAACAAACATTGTGTAAGAATGGTCAGCAGGACATTAAATTAAATTCCAAATTCAACATACAACACACTAAACATTAAAAAGAGGAGATTGCAGGTAAATAATTGAAGTAAGTTAAAACATAAACAACAAATAAACTAAAAAATCTCAAAAATATTGGCAGTAGGACGAAATTTATCATAGCTTATCTATAAAGATATATTTGAGATACATATATTTTTTAAATAAAAAAAAATTTAAATAAAATATTTACTTAGATGAGAATAATGATTCTAGCGAAAGAATGATTTTTAAATTAATATTGAAAGCTAAACTTGAGAGAGATTTTGCAATTTCTGGATAGTTCAACATCAACTAACATCTATAGTTCTTTCAATCCATCGAACAAACTCCTGTTTTATTATTTATAAATATCCGATTTAGAAAAGTTGTGAGTTTACTAATTATTCTAACAATAGGTAGTCGCGAAAATCTGCCGTCGCGAGGAGTAAATGTGCATTTATGGATGTGATATTTTCGAAACCAGAAAAGGTACGCTGGTACACTCGACAATAAAAATATTGTATTGAACTTTTAAAGGACATATTTTATAAAATATAAGCAAATATTTTATGCAAAGCAAGCTTCCCATCATTGGTTTAAGAAAAGTTTGTCGCTCAAGCCAAGTTTCAAAAGCTAAAAGCATTTGAATAGCGCATATGCATAGCTTTTGCCAGGCCCCATTTATAAAGAGTGGCTGGAACTTTAGCAGGTAAAAAACCGGCTGTTTTTTTCATATTTTTTTTATATTTTATATAGCTATGTTATTTTGTATACTTGAGAAATAACATATCTACTGCGAATCAATCTCAAACTTGATCATCGGCCGGCAATAATAAAGGAATGACTTACCGTAAAACCTCCCAGCCGCAAAATTTAATCGCAGGTGTTAAATATGGCAAAAATCAATTGACCAAGGAAATCGAAATACTACCAACATACTACATACATGCGTGCCTTAAAAGTAAAGCTACCCAAGGGACTCAATCTACCACTTGGTGGTATGTTACATATACAGAGTGTTCCATGAATATTCCGACAAATCCTTATGGAGTACATACATTAGGACAAGCATTTTTACATAAACATATGGTCCAAAGCGCAGCGTGTTCCAAATACCGGATGCCAAAATCAGGTAGACATTTGATGCTGTTTTTTAACAGCATTTTTTAAAACAGTATCAAATATGCTGTTTTTGGATTCCTACTCTTACAGTTTTTAAGATATTTAGGTAAAATTTGAATTTTGACGCCGTTTTTTCGATCGGGCTCTCGCAGTTTTTAAGATATCTAGTTAAAATTAGACATTTGATTTTGTTTTGTCGTTCGGGCTCTTGCAATTGTCAAGATATTTAGTTGAAATTTGTTCACCTAGAACTTGTTAGCGCCACTCAAGCGTATCGAAATTGTCAAGTTAATTCACAGGCAATGTAAGTAATTCACAATTTCTTGATTAATTTAAATACTTTCTTGCCTCTTGCATTTTTTTTGCGCCATCTGCCACGTTTCCAAGTTATTAGCAAAAAAAATAATTCATGCTATGAAATTTTGTAAGTATCAGAATTATAGCAGTAAAATGGCATTGACTGCAGAAACGGTAGGTACTATACGGTTAGAAAGAGTTTCATCACTCTATTTCGATCCAGCTGCGTTCGCAGGCAGATATTTATGACACCAAAATGTTTGTTTTTATGTAACGTACCATTTCTAAAGCTTTGTTTGTAATTTTAGGAACCACCCTGTATATGTAATTCTAGATTTTTTTTTTTAAAGTAGTGAAAGTGATAAATAAAAAAGTGGTTTATTATTACTGATATTTTTAAAATCTGAAATTAAAGGGTAAAAAATGAACGAACTTGAGTCAGATTTTTATTATATTTTTTCTTTCCTGGGTTTCAGTCAAAATTACCAGCAAATGTATGCAATAATTCACAATGTGAGGTTTCAAGACAGCCAAGCCTAAAAAGAATCTACTGTTTCCCAATTATGGGTTTGTGTTGAATTTTAAATCTGATGATGGCGCTGTTGTCTCGCCGAAACGTTATATGAAGTAAAGAAATAAATGATACGAACATTTTTATTTCACATTACACCCAGGAAGGAAAAAATATAATAACAATTTCACGCAGTCAGGAAAATAAATTAAAATTTAGTCAGATTGATAGGAATTTTTTCCTGATTTCAAAAATAATATTGTTCAGATTTGTTTCAGCCGTTTTCTTTTTATGTTTCAGAAATGAGAAATAGCAACAACTTAAATTAGCGAAATACGACAAACTTGAAATACGACAAACAAAAATCACGATAAATAATCAGAAAATACCGGTATTTATTGCTACAATAGATTAATAGAAGCAATAAGATTATATCAATTACTATCTATGTTACTCATTAATGCATCCATTAGTCTAAGGCCATCAACATTTGTAGCTCGTCTTTTATACGCAATATTCTTTAAACAACACCAGAGAAAAGAAAGAGAATGCATTAAATTGGGGCTATTAGGGGGCCATGGCATAAACCACCTCGTCCAATTCAGATATCAACATTTTATCATAACAATGATAAGTTGGAGTTAAATAAAGCAGATAACAAAACAAGCACATTTTGTTTAAAACCAGAATAACGCCATACAGTCGTAGCTAGAAAACCGAACTGACACAGGTAGAACAGGAAGGTCAGAATCTGTTAAAGAGACGGCTCATAAGCAAATACAACAAGCGAAAGGATGTGTGATTGTCTCGCACCTATCAGATATGCCAGCTTTTCGCCAATCATTATTATAATCAACTCAGACAATGAGAAGGGTCAATTAAGGCAACCTTTGATGCTTTGGATTAACTAGAGTCCTCGGAAAATCCGTCGGAATGTAATTCAATCAAATCTCTAATTAACAAATCAGGAGATCATAAAATTTCTCAGGACTTCTACTTAGTAACGGAAACAATAGCCTAAAGTTGGCATAAACTTTATAACTGATCTTTTCAGCATCATTAATGGGATTGGCCTCTTTCCAGAAATGGTTGGAAAAGAACCAGAAAGTTATTTCTGCTAACAAAAAGTGGCATAGCTACGTGACTGTGAATAAGTGGTGGTTAGTTAATATAAAAACGTTTGTTAAAATCGAGCCTTCTATTAGATACCCATTTGTTTCATATGAAATCAAAAAGCTATTTAGTAAGTAGCAAAATGCATTAAATAGTATTAATATTCTAAGTTTTTATTGTTGGTTCTTCAAACATTGTTAATTATCATACTTCTGTGCGACAGTAATTTTATCGTTCGATTATTTCCAACTTTTAGCAAAGTACCCGTAGTAAGAAACCCAAAAATCGGGAAGCGATATATTTTCATTTATTAATGCCAAACATCGTTGCCTTGCTAAAAAATTTAATGATTAAGAAACTCTACTGGCCCTCTTTGTTTACATAGTTCCGAACAGCATCCTTCGTGAGAGTATAAGTTACTTTTTCTGTTCATCACTCCAAAATGCTTGGTTTAAGGTTGCATTAAGATCAATGACGAAAATACGACATCCACTGATGGATAACAAGATGGATTAGCAAAAATACGGCAAAACGAGGCCATTGAAGTCCTTGCTTTATAAGACAAAGCAGACAATTTCTTTATGTCTAACTCTACCAAAACCATTACAAATACAGCCAAGATGCTAGCTAACTAAAATAGCAATAATAATAATGTAAGATGAAGCATGGGTTTGAATTAGAATCGAGCCATGTTTTTGGGACAGAACGATCAATTGATGATCTGATGTCATGAATTTTCTTAAATAGTAAGAGTTAACGCAAGTTCCGTAAAATATGGAGGCAGTTTTCAATTCAACACTATGTATATCATTTCTATGACAAAATTCATATTATTTACGAAAGATGTAATGTTGCAAATAATTTCTACAGCATAGTAATTTGCATTAGTATTATTCAATAATCATTTTCTTAGAGCAAATAAATAATTTATTGAATATTTTGGATAGTTTTGAGGACCCCTACTCCAATAAAATTATGAAGCCATGTTAACACACTACTTTTTGTTATAGGGCTGACGCTATGAAAAAAATCCAGGCAAGACTTAGAGATGGTGCATATGAGTTTGCGGTCGGCTTACTACGAGCTGCTAGGTAAGTGTGTACACATTGATTTCTCATATTTGTACCGGTTGTACGAAAATGTTACGAGAAAAATTCAGGAGTTGATTCAACAGCAGTTTTCCGAACATTCAAAAATTGAAGACCTTGGAAGAATTGAAAGACCTTGAATTTAAATTTTGGAAATTTTTTTTAATGTTTACCGATTGTTTGCAAATATGGCATACAATTACTTACATATTCAATTAATACATATACATTTTTCTTATTCCAAAAATTATTTTTCTGCTAACGCCGCGAAAAATCCCTATTTCGGTTTAGAATTATCAGACAACAAAAAACTTTTCATTTGTATGATCATTTTTCAGACGTCAGATTTTTAATACCTACATAAAAAGCATTGCTTACTTATTCGTGTTAACTGTCCTCTTGTTTTGTGGTCAAGTAGAAGCTGGTGTTCTGCTGTCACAACGCCCAGGTAGTCGAAAGCAGCGTTTCCTGTAAATCACAGTTTTGAAACGTGATATGAAATTTCAAACCACGCCCTGTCCTCCAAATGGTTGAAAATCCATATATCCCGACAAGAAAGAGCCAGCCGAAGTCATTTTAACAGAATATCAGAACGCAACAGATCATGATCATGAATCCTCTGCATTGATTGTGGTAAAAGTTCCATTGGCGCTAAAATCTAAATTTTAGGGTTTGTCCTCTACGGCAACAACTCATATCAGAGCAGCAAATTGCGATAATAATTGTTAACTTTATAAAACAAGAAATTCTGATGTCTTTAAGAGGTTGAGTTATATTTATTAATATTTACACCTCTCACGGCACAATTTCTTCACTAAAAGAAGTAAGCTATTAGAATTGACCTTTTCTTCAAAGTTCGCGAAAACAGGATTGCAGGTTTGTTTCGTTGGTGTATTTAGAAATATTGTGAACCCGTAAACCTATTTTCAAATGTAAAGAACAATCATAATCGACATGGCACGACCAGTTTTGAAACTCATCAATCTAACTACACAAAAACGTAGTGTTAATGCCGGGATAAAAATGTATTCCTTCAATAAAAATGCTGTATAGTTTTCATTGCATGTGTTGCGATTTTGTTGTTTGTAATGCGTTTAAAAACACAATTGGAATTATTAGTTTAAGGCTAACTTGAATTTAGATATTGACAACCTGCAATTTCTAAACCTCCATTATTAACCTTTCATAATTACTTTCAAATTCTTGTTATCGTTCAACGCCAGGTCTTGCAGTAAGCGAGCTGCCATTACTAACTCCCAACATGTTTTTATTATTAAGCCGAGTTACCAAGTAACTTAAGCTATAAATTAGGACAGATTTAAACTTTTCCGGATTTAGCGGATAATCCTTTTGATATAACGTAGCAGTTGCATTATTACAGATTCTTGTGCCGTGGCTTTCAGACCCGAATTTATATAAGTTCCTCTTGGTAAGTTTCTCTTAAAATTGGATACTTAATGTGGATCCACTGTTGTTTGGCAGTGCTGCTCATATTTTAAAGGATAATTTTCTAAAGCTCAAGCTAATTATCTATCTATCTGAAATTATGTTTGAATGCGATGGTTTGAGAATTTTTGTTTCATAGCTATACAGAAGAATTATACAGTATTGTATTATACAGTTGATGGGTATATATGGTAAAATGGGTATATATGGTTGAGGAATATATGGTAAAATTATTGTCATTAATTTTTTTCTTTCAATGTCACAGATCACAGCTCTTAAAACTGAAAAAAAAGTTTTTCCTATGATAATTAGGAAAACTCTGCGAAATGCATTTAAATGACAAACGCATCTTCACAAAACGAATTTTCCAATATTGAATTCGCCTTTCACGTACCATAATCAAGTATTCAGCAAATATCTTATCTTTGGTTATTTGCTTCAGCACTGACCTTATTTTTCTCCTCGCAATTTTGAACTACAAGTTTTCATTTTCTAGCTCGGCTGTTTTTAGAGCTATAACAGCGAACTGCAGATCTAAAAACTTAAAATGTTTCAGTCTTCAAAGTTTTCACTTTATTTTTCCCATGTTTGAAAAATATATTTACTTCAATCTGCAAACTATACGGTAAAGTTTTCGAGTCACCTCAAGAAAATATTCAGGTCCAAAGTTAAATAAAGGGAGAACATTAGAGCGCCTGTGTTTACTTTAAGTGTTAAAAATCGTTAACTTGATGTCACTGAAACAACAATTATTTTAACTTCGAGCAAAATGGAAGTTTTCTTTCAGATTGTTTCCCTCGATTTACATTGATATCAATAGTGATTAATGTTTTTGAGTCATCATTCTTAAAGTAAAGTTTTCTCATACTTATTACTCATTCTGATGGTTCTTTATTTTGTTTGTAAGAAATGGCTATTGATTTAAGCACGTCAGCTAACTTTAATAAAGTAATACTGACATATCAACACATGTGTATAGCAGCAATTAAGTAAGTAAGTAAGTTTAAGTTAGATATTGTTCGTCCAATGCCAATAAATGTAGACTGGACTTACTGCAGATATAATATTTCTAATAATCTTAATAGATTTAGAATGTTTGTGGTGTGGATGTAATTTGATATGTGATTTTTATTATGCTTAAATACACTGTAGACCGTGTGACTACCGCATCTTATGCCTGCTAAGAGTTAGAAGATAAAATTAATTTACTTCTTTATTAAATGCTACGCTTTTCCTTTACAAGTAACTTACCTACCCAAACCCCGTCGCTTCCACCCTCCAATGAGTATTATACACTTTTTGCGTGTTTCTTATAATGAGCTTAATATAACTGCAAGCTGTGTTTCTGCAAAGGCATCTAAATGACATGTCAACTGCATAGCGAGCCGAGCAAGAAAAAAGGCCTGAGCGGAAAATATGGATGACGAAGCAAGGTAATTTGGATATATCGTTTTTAAATGAGATGCTTAGCCGTATTTTTAGGACAAATTAAGTGACTGAAATATACGAAGTCTACAATAATGCATTATTTGAAACGGTTAGTTGCAGATGCAAGCGATATGCTAAGTGAAGGAAACATTCACCACTTCTAATCCCCAAAGTAACAAACTTTTTCTTTAAATTCTCCAATTTTTCGACAAACTAAATATTCCAATGCGATGAATGCGAAAAACATTAAATAATCCACTTTAACAGTAATACCAATAGACTAAAAATGCTGAAATATGTCATCACCGAAACTAAACCATATTTCGCTGATCTGACCGGTTATGGTTCCTGGAGAACTGAACAGTAATTCTTATAGACGAAAGGTGATAAACACAATCATCAACGCAACGTCCAGCTACACATATTTTTCGTTGACAGATAGTTACTGAAACTGATGCCACTGGATAGTTGGCTCGACGGTGCCGCATCGGTTCTGTGCTGGTGCGAACCACTTTTTCCAGCTTATGAGACAGGTCTCTGTGGTTACAGATTACGGGTCTGGAACACTGTTATTTTAGCCGTTATATTTAACATCGACAGCCATAGTCTGTATGTAATATAATTAAGGCCTTAATCATATTACATACAAATGCATTTCATTACAAAAAACTTGTTTCCTTGTACTTGTTATTAGCGTGCAGCTCTTTCGCTCAACTACCACGTCGGCTTCGATATTTTAAATAAATGGTTTTATGCTGAAATGTTAAAAATATGGGTTTTCAGCAAAAATCTAAATATGTGCTTAGCGCTTTAAAAACCTACACCAGTAATCCATTAGGACAGATGAATTTCATTCAAGATCTTCGCAAAACGGATTTGCTGCAGTTCTCTGGTACAGCGGTCTATTCTGTACTGTGTTACATTCATCTATAATTACATATACAATTTTCAAGGAAATTTATTTTTACGCTCCTATACACCCATCGAAGTCTTGAATCCAGAAGGGTTAATTTTATCGACAGATTCATTAGCAATATTTTAAGTATTTACCAATTATTCTGCATTTTCACTACGTGGATGTTACAATCCGTGTATTACTCTCAGGTATTCGGTGGACATTAAACCCATTAGTTGTATTAACTTCATACAATATCGGATCATTTTTAGGAACGAAAATTTAAATACTCAGAAAGATTGAGGTCTTATTGGGAATCAAATTCAAACAATCCATTTTAACTTCAGTGAGTTTTACTATCAGCAAGATCACTATCCTGTTTACACCGTCAACGATGTTATTTAATACTTGAAACTTTTCCTGATTGTGTCACCAGCAGGGATCTGATGTCAGCCCAGATTCCCCTGTTTGGACGGTAACGCTTTATTTAGGGTGCACATATTACAAGGCGCGCACACATCTTACATGTGTTTCACATTTTTAAACCTAGTTATAGCTTCTAGCTTCTACTGAATTCTATTGACGTTTGCTCGGTTTACAAAACTAATTTGATAATACCTGATTATTTTTGTTCTTGTGGTTTACTTTAAGCGAAGAGTTGTAAAACTTGGGATTCAGAGTGTCAGCTGGAACAACAGCAAATAAGTTGTGATATTTATTAGGAAATAACCAACTCAATAGCATTATTTTCAAGATCGCACCTATATGCCGTATACGCCTCTAAACACGTTATCATTGTTTGAATGTGTGCAGAAAGTGTTTGTTATCGTCATTTCAAATCTTCATTAAGGAACAATTTTAAACTTTGACAAGATGATCTCAAACCAAACTGCTGCATTAGCAGTTTGTCCTTTTTGTATTAGGAAATACGTATATTCCATGTATTAGAAAGCTCTTCCTGGTAATTAATTTTCACCAGCTGATTCAAGCATTTTTGACATAACTAGCGAAGCTGCGGTAGTCTTCGAATTAATTTCACAGTGGCTCAGATCACTAGTAATACAGGTAATACTAGTTTGATTTCGCGTTTCGTTTTGTTCTTTCGAATAAACATAAATTCGGGGAAAATGGAGTATACTGAAACTACAAAACACAAATACCTTTCACTTTTCCAAATAAACGCTCCTCTTTTACCCCATCGCAAATTTATACCGTCTCCCAACTTTCTTTTGCGCGTCGCATTTTCCCCATATCCATTTCTGATTCTTATTTTCTCTTGCAGGGAAGTCTGGCCAGAGAACGATAGTTTTGGGAGTCCTAATATGGCGCCGGAGGAGGAATTTTTGGCCCTTAGAGACATTTTCTTTGCTGACTTGGGCGGTGAGTGCACCTACATTTATTTACATTTATTGGGGAACGGTACGTTGCGACGACTGCAACCCACGTGCTTTTATATAAGGGTGTTGGCGGCCCTGGTTTGGACAATTTCAAATTCGTAAATGATCCGTATCGCCCCATTTGTTTTGGGGGGAACTTATGTTGGAAGCGCACATTTGGCTACATACAGATGGCCCAATTTTACACCTTTTCTTACGGCTTGATCAGAATGAAGGAATATCACAAGTACTCGAAATGAGTTCAGAATGGCGTTGTACATTTTATAACGCAAATTTAAGTGCCGGGTTCCTAACCATTACTTAGAGATACAAGGTTAAATGATCTTATTTGATAAAACGAACTTTTGTGGCTCTTCGCACCTAGATGGTGGAGACATATTTGCGACATGTTTAATTTGGTGATAAAACTTGTATTCCGCGTTTAAACGGTAGATCTAATATTAATCATATATGAACTGGACCAAATCTGCTTTCGCATAGTTTTACAACGGAATGTATTGATTCCTTTACTGACTGCTTGGTTGTGAGATCATCTATGGAAAAACGTCCTCTAATGTAGCTCTCGTTAAATGTCACTATGGGGACGTTTGATTTTTAATTATTTCTAAACGATTGAACTTAATTTCGTTTTCGGCTGAAGGTATTTTTTTCACACCTTCATATGCTGGCTCCAGATATAAAATATAAACTGTCAGATTTTAATAATAAATCTTGCATATATTGCATAATAAATGCAATTTCCAAACACCAGTTGTCTAGATTGAAACCCTAACCACATTGCTTTATGATCTAATTACGTGTTACCGAACCATCAGTTCAGACGTTGAAACGTTGACGTTGACGCACTGAAACTGAATAAGAACATCGTTGAAACGACACTAAAATAAAACGTGACTATAAATTAAAAAATAAAAACTCATTAAGTTATAGCTCAGCCAGGAGTTGAAGGAAATTGCAATGGCAAATTAAAGAGGAATGCCATTTATTTAAAATGCAGGTCCCCATCAAACTAAGGCGAGTTCTCGACATCGAAAGCTCAATATCGTGTACATTAGGTTGTACAATACATCAATAGAGGATGTACCACCAACCTTATGATAATAGTAGATAATTACTCCTCCTAAAAAGATGCTACTTAGTAGTGTTCTCTTCACAAGGTAAACAGAAACACAGATATTTTAAATATAATATTGTACCGTGGATGGCCGAGTATCAAATTCTTTCTTCTGGTTACAACTTTTATTCCACTTGGTACAACTTTAACTTCGGAACAGGAACAAACTAACTTCTAAATTAACGTCAACTTCACAAACAACAACAATAACAAACGGAAAACACGCGTTTCCGACTCCCGGAGTTTAACTTCTTCTGCACTCGGACGCTGCTGTCACTTCACTCTCCCTGTCTGGTTCTCGTGGTCGCTTATATACTTTTCTCCAGGTATTCCAGATAGTTCTAGAAATCTCCAGAACAGGTGCGAAACTTCCCGCTTGTCAGTGTCATATTTGACAGTAAATGGGGCCCAAATGGGGCTCCCATTTACTGAAACACCATGA